TAGTGGAAATCTAAAAGTTAAAATTGATGACGATTTTTCTGTCGAAATGGAGAGGTTGATAAAAAAAAAACCTCCAGGTCAAACTGCCATTCAAATCATTCTTCCTGAATATAAAGAATCAATATTCTATCACAAGGCAAGGCTTTGATTTTGGAATTTTATAGAGTATATTACTTATGAATTGATCATGGATCCTAAAATAGCTCTTACTTTCACTCTCTTATGTAGCATTTTACAATAAATAATCTTTTCGACGGCGAAGACTTTTCTTTTAGTGTTTTTAAGGATTTACTACCATTTCCAGAACAAGGAAAAATCTCTATTGGCTTCAGAACACATCAAACAACTGGTTATTCCGTAAATTTAGCAGCTCGTGTCATACCGACAGTATGTATAATTATGATGCTCGTCATAAATAATGTAAAGTTTATTATAATAATTATGTCTATAGGTCGAGCGTGAATCGATTGACTTGGCCCAACAAACGCTTTCAATATACAATACAGAAATGTTATGTTCTGCTGGAACGTTATGCCGAGTCTTATATGAAGATGAAATGAGTCAAGTCTCTCAATCATATAAAGTTGCGAAAGTTGCGCCTATCATTGATAAAACGAGGTTCGAAGCACGTTCAGCGCATGCTCTTAAACATTTTACCTTTAAGCAAAGCACTCCAGATGTCAAAGTAGGAGACATAATCGAGAAACAATTTTATAAATGTTGTCCATCAAAATTGTCTATATTATCAACTCATGGTGTCAAAGAAATTACAAAAGTACGGTTACTCAATCCAGAGATGGCCAAGTTTATCAAAAATGTCCCAGCTGTTCCGAAATTCGTGGAAAATCAATGTGTAGAATTTTTCAAAAGAGCTAACACTGTTTTGAAACTTATTGAAAAAGCTTCAATAAATGACGTATTAGATCAGAATGAGATGGTGTCCCTAATAAAGTGGTGGATAACGAATTTTTCGGAATCAAATTATAATAAATTAATGCAGCTAGCCGTCGTGCATGTTGAAAATAAAGATGTTTATCTGAAAAATATTCGTTATTATCAAAATCCAAACATCATTGAACCAGATTTAGATGTCCCATCTAATGTATTGCCATATATTATTAACAAAGAATTTGATATAAATGCAATAAAAAGATCGTTCAAGTACAGTATAGTATAAGTTTATAATACAATTGGCTTTTCAAGCATTTCAATCTTTTGAGGCCAATTTTCTCACAATTACATCTCTCATTTAGAAGCTGGACTGAACTCTCGTTAGTTGAATGAACACGGTACATTACTAAAAAGCACGAACTGAAAAATGATCCGATTCTTGCTGAGAGATTTATAGGTGTCCTTTCAAAAAATTTTAAAAAAATAGAAATAAGAGATCGATCCACTATATGTCAATTACTGCGTCAAGTTGAATGCATTCCGACTAGATGTGGCGTGAAAAAACCTTCAGAATCATATTTTCCAGAAGTAACGCTATTTTCGGACTTACCAAATGTTACCATAGAAGTTAACGAAGAATTTTTCACTATGATGGAAATACGTAAGGTAAGAAGGATAATATGTTCATTCATTAATCCACCCAAGAACGATTACAAACACATCTTTTCATTGTTTCTCACATATTGAGCAAAGCATGTGGACCTTAAGCTTGTTTTTGATCGACTTGTCAATAGCAACAATTTGAATCATATGAAGCTTGTAGAATATTTCACCAAGCATGAATGTGACCTTAACAGTGCCGAAATAGAGACATTGAAAAGGACTGCAATTTGGTTAAAAGAGTTTGTTGGGAATAATAAGTCAGAGATTAATGTTCGAAGGTATTTAGCAAGAGAATTATATGCTCCTAGTGAAAAACTTAGGGAACTTGAATTACCAGTAATTCAGTGGGAGAATTGGAACAAGAATTCAAAAGAAGGTATATATGTGAACAGGGAATTCTATCTGAAAGAATTTTTTTAATCTCACACTAAATCAATCAATATAAATATTTAGCAAAATTTGTCATAGGGCTTGGACTGCGAACACACCCGTCTTTTCAGACTATTATGAATCTTATGACTCAAAATCGATCTTCCAGTCTTAGGGTGAAAGCGCTTGAATATTTTGTCAGCAAACTTAATGATAAATATTCCAGAGAATACAATTCAAATTCAATCCAAGAAGAATTTTTACCGTGCGTTAATTCTGACATTTACGCGAAACCATCGGAATGTTATTCGATCCCTGATTGCGCAGTGATGGGATTTAAGGTTTTGCATCAACGCTGGCACCCTTGGGCTGTACAATTGGGCGTCAAACAACATCCCGATAATAATTTGTTGATTGAAAAGTTGAAAAACTGCCCTCCAAGAAATATAGATGATGCAAAATGAATTTTTGAATATTTGGCAAAACGTAGAGGTTATTTTAAAAATCTGGAGCTT